CGCGTTATTTCTGTAGCTAGGACCTCTGAGGGCCCTGCCACGCCAAACTTTGCCCCATCACGGGACACATGGGGCCCACACTGGGTACCTCTGTTCTCCGCACTGGGGTTACACAAAACTCCTACACAACTGTCTCGGGACTCTCCCAGCGACAAACCTGCTCAGACAGGTCCGGAGGCCCCGCCATGTCCATACTTCACCCAAGATGTTCCATTATCGCTTCTCAAGCCCCCTCTCAAGCCACTTTCTTCCACACTACACCGTTTCTTTCCAGCGCCCCTCTCCCTTTTCAGTACCATTTTCTTCTTTTCAGACTACCCTCTGCTTCCCCCACTCCGTGGGATCCCTCCGACAGAATCGGTATGATGTGTCACCTTGGTTTTCCCACCTCTAAGACTTACACACCCACAACTTTGACTTGGAGAGGGATGTGTGCCCCTGGGGGGTAGAGGGCCCCAAGGCACAACCCTGTAGCCTCCTAATGATTCACCCTTTTTAAATCCAGAACTTTGGAAAAGCTGAGGCAACAGCTGGGAATGGAAGAGAAACAGCCGGGAACAGCCTTACATCCTGAGTGAATCCTATGGTCCTGACACTCGGAGGAGGAAGCCTTGCTGAGCCCCACATCCTCCCTGGCTGAGGAGGAAGGGGGTAGGGCATGCTGAGGAACTCTTGTACTTCCCAGGGAGGGGGAAGGATTCCTTCCTTTTTTGGTGGTCAGTACATTTGGGGACGGGGGATCACTGCCCCCTACAGCAGTACTGGAGAACAATCCAAAGGCTGCAGAGGTGCTGAGGACAGAAAATCCAATCCAGCCCCACCGCTTGCCCCATTTACCCAAAAGGCCTGTACCCTGGAGAAGCCACAGACACTAATTAACAATTAGCAGTACTAACATCACAGGAATATGGCAGAGTCAACCCGTCTCCCCAGAGAACAGACTGGGCCCTGAAGGGAAGGCTAGTTTTTCTACTTAGGATGGATCAGTGGACTCACCCCAAGATACTCCACAAGGGCTGTTCCCAGCCTTCCGGCTCTGAGCTCCACAGAGACATGACACACCATCACCCCCCAGCCCTAACCAAACAGAGGGCAGGAAGAGGGATATGGGTGATATTTTTCTAGGCACTGCCCCATGGCTTGAGGGCAGCTTCATGTCTGGGTCTACCCCCGTATTCCTACCCTGTGTTTGTCCAGATTCTCTCTCTTCCTTTCCTGACCTTCCTCTCCCCTCTTGCTTGGCCCCTGTCTCTCTCCCCATCCTCATTTCCCGTCTCTGGGCCTGCGGGGGTGGCAGGCCTTAATGGTCAAACAGTTCCGCCAGGCTGGTGGCCAGTGGCTGCAATTGTGTGCAGAGGGGGCTGGAAATGGAAAGAAGTTGGAGGGAAGTGGTGAGGGTCCCAGGCCAGACAGGGGAAGGCTGGTTCCTCTGCCCATCCCTGCTGAGGCCTGGCCTGCTCACTGGATGGCAACAGCCAGGGCTGTTATTGCTGGACAGAAGCCCGTCTGGCACTTTCCCTGCCTGGGCCCCCAGCCAGCACCCACACTCCTCTGGAGCCGCCTCCCTAGGCTGAGATGGTTGCTGAGTGCCAAGGCCCTCTGCTGGACAGCCTCAGAGCCCCAACTCACAGTAGCCTGTGCCCGAGTTCCTCTAGCCAGGCCCAGCCAGTCTTATGGCTCCCTCCCTCCCTGGGCTCTCACAGGTCTCTGGCACAGGAGAGGGGTGTGAAGGGTGGATCCAGCTGCACCCCGACCCTATCCCTCACCTATTTGCGACTGTGGCTTGCCCCAGACTCCCTCCTCCCTCTTAGAGCCTCCAAGCCTGCCTCATCGACTCACACACAGTCCTATCTTTCCCCAGCTCTGCCTCTATCTGTGTTTGTTGGAAGTGTGCTTGCTTGGCTGGGAGGTTTGTCACCAGCGCGCCTCGTAACTGTATGTTCTCAATTGTTTTGGGGGACTCTATCTCCGCGGCCTTGTAGCAGGGCTGAGACAAGGGAGAGACCAGAGAGGCAACTTACCTGAGGCGCAAAATTTGCGGGGGATACCCAAAGATTCCAGAATCCAGATAATGTTTTAATGCAATATTTAAAAAACCCTCAAAGTTAATGCAAAAAATCCATGATGAACAAAACATCATCTAAACTTAAGACAGGATCCGGC